CGCTCCCTGCTCTTTCGCTCCTTCTCTTTCGCTCCCTGCTCTTTCGCTCACTTCTCTTTCGCTCCCTGCTCTTTCGCTCACTTCTCTTTCGCTCCCTGCTCTTTCGCTCACTTCTCTTTCGCTCCCTGCTCTTTCGCTCACTTCTCTTTCGCTCCCTGCTCTTTCGCTCACTTCTCTTTCGCTCCCTGCTCTTTCGCTCACTTCTCTTTCGCTCCCTGCTCTTTCGCTCACTTCTCTTTCGCTCCCTGCTCTTTCGCTCACTTCTCTTTCGCTCCCTGCTCTTTCGCTCACTTCTCTTTCGCTCCCTGCTCTTTCGCTCACTTCTCTTTCGCTCCCTGCTCTTTCGCTCACTTCTCTTTCGCTCCCTGCTCTTTCGCTCACTTCTCTTTCGCTCCCTGCTCTTTCGCTCCCTGCTCTTTCGCTCACTTCTCTTTCGCTCCCTGCTCTTTCGCTCACTTCTCTTTCGCTCCCTGCTCTTTCGCTCACTTCTCTTTCGCTCCCTGCTCTTTCGCTCACTTCTCTTTCGCTCCCTGCTCTTTCGCTCACTTCTCTTTCGCTCCCTGCTCTTTCGCTCACTTCTCTTTCGCTCCCTGCTCTTTCGCTCACTTCTCTTTCGCTCCCTGCTCTTTCGCTCACTTCTCTTTCGCTCCCTGCTCTTTCGCTCACTTCTCTTTCGCTCCCTGCTCTTTCGCTCACTTCTCTTTCGCTCCCTGCTCTTTCGCTCACTTCTCTTTCGCTCCCTGCTCTTTCGCTCACTTCTCTTTCGCTCCCTGCTCTTTCGCTCACTTCTCTTTCGCTCCCTGCTCTTTCGCTCCTGCTCTTTCGCTCCCTGCTCTTTCGCTCCCTGCTCTTTCGCTCCCTGCTCTTTCGCTCACTTCTCTTTCGCTCCCTGCTCTTTCGCTCACTTCTCTTTCGCTCCCTGCTCTTTCGCTCACTTCTCTTTCGCTCCCTGCTCTTTCGCTCACTTCTCTTTCGCTCCCTGCTCTTTCGCTCACTTCTCTTTCGCTCCCTGCTCTTTCGCTCACTTCTCTTTCGCTCCCTGCTCTTTCGCTCACTTCTCTTTCGCTCCCTGCTCTTTCGCTCACTTCTCTTTCGCTCCCTGCTCTTTCGCTCACTTCTCTTTCGCTCCCTGCTCTTTCGCTCACTTCTCTTTCGCTCCCTGCTCTTTCGCTCACTTCTCTTTCGCTCCCTGCTCTTTCGCTCACTTCTCTTTCGCTCCCTGCTCTTTCGCTCACTTCTCTTTCGCTCCCTGCTCTTTCGCTCACTTCTCTTTCGCTCCCTGCTCTTTCGCTCACTTCTTTCGCTCCCTGCTCTTCGCTCCTCTCTTTCGCTCACTTCTCTTTCGCTCCCTGCTCTTTCGCTCACTTCTCTTTCGCTCCCTGCTCTTTCGCTCACTTCTCTTTCGCTCCCTGCTCTTTCGCTCACTTCTCTTTCGCTCCCTGCTCTTTCGCTCCTTCATTGCGCTCCTCTCTTTCGCTCCCTGCTCTTTCGCTCCCTGCTCTTTCGCTCACTGCTCTTTCGCTCCCTGCTCTTTCGCTCACTTCTCTTTCGCTCCCTGCTCTTTCGCTCACTTCTCTTTCGCTCCCTGCTCTTTCGCTCACTTCTCTTTCGCTCCCTGCTCTTTCGCTCACTTCTCTTTCGCTCCCTGCTCTTTCGCTCACTTCTCTTTCGCTCCCTGCTCTTTCGCTCACTGCTCTTTCGCTCCCTGCTCTTCGCTCACTGCTCTTTCGCTCCCTGCTCTTTCGCTCACTTCTCTTTCGCTCCCTGCTCTTTCGCTCACTTCTCTTTCGCTCCCTGCTCTTTCGCTCACTTCTCTTTCGCTCCCTGCTCTTTCGCTCACTTCTCTTTCGCTCCCTGCTCTTTCGCTCACTTCTCTTTCGCTCCCTGCTCTTTCGCTCACTTCTCTTTCGCTCCCTGCTCTTCGCTCACTTCTCTTTCGCTCCCTGCTCTTTCGCTCACTTCTCTTTCGCTCCCTGCTCTTTCGCTCACTTCTCTTTCGCTCCCTGCTCTTTCGCTCACTTCTCTTTCGCTCCCTGCTCTTTCGCTCACTTCTCTTTCGCTCCCTGCTCTTTCGCTCACTTCTCTTTCGCTCCCTGCTCTTTCGCTCACTTCTCTTTCGCTCCCTGCTCTTTCGCTCACTTCTCTTTCGCTCCCTGCTCTTTCGCTCACTTCTCTTTCGCTCCCTGCTCTTTCGCTCACTTCTCTTTCGCTCCCTGCTCTTTCGCTCACTTCTCTTTCGCTCCCTGCTCTTTCGCTCACTTCTCTTTCGCTCCCTGCTCTTTCGCTCACTTCTCTTTCGCTCCCTGCTCTTCGCTCACTTCTCTTTCGCTCCCTGCTCTTTCGCTCACTTCTCTTTCGCTCCCTGCTCTTTTCGCTCACTTCTCTTTCGCTCCCTGCTCTTTCGCTCACTTTCTCTTTCGCTCCCTGCTCTTTCGCTCACTTCTCTTTCGCTCCCTGCTCTTTCGCTCACTGCTCTTTCGCTCCCTGCTCTTTCGCTCACTTCTCTTTCGCTCCCTGCTCTTTCGCTCACTGTCTCTTCGCTCCTGCTCTTTCGCTCCCTGCTCTTTTCGCTCCCTGCTCTTTCGCTCACTTCTCTTTCGCTCCCTGCTCTTTCGCTCACTTCTCTTTCGCTCCCTGCTCTTTCGCTCACTTCTCTTTCGCTCCCTGCTCTTTCGCTCACTTCTCTTTCGCTCCCTGCTCTTTCGCTCACTTCTCTTTCGCTCCCTGCTCTTTCGCTCACTTCTCTTTCGCTCCCTGCTCTTTCGCTCACTTCTCTTTCGCTCCCTGCTCTTTCGCTCACTTCTCTTTCGCTCCCTGCTCTTTCGCTCACTTCTCTTTCGCTCCCTGCTCTTTCGCTCACTTCTCTTTCGCTCCCTGCTCTTTCGCTCACTTCTCTTTCGCTCCCTGCTCTTTCGCTCACTTCTCTTTCGCTCCCTGCTCTTTCGCTCACTTCTCTTTCGCTCCCTGCTCTTTCGCTCACTGCTCTTTCGCTCCCTGCTCTTTCGCTCACTTCTCTTTCGCTCCCTGCTCTTTCGCTCACTTCTCTTTCGCTCCCTGCTCTTTCGCTCACTTCTCTTTCGCTCCCTGCTCTTTCGCTCACTTCTCTTTCGCTCCCTGCTCTTTCGCTCACTGCTCTTTCGCTCCCTGCTCTTTCGCTCACTTCTCTTTCGCTCCCTGCTCTTTCGCTCACTTCTCTTTCGCTCCCTGCTCTTTCGCTCACTTCTCTTTCGCTCCCTGCTCTTTCGCTCACTTCTCTTTCGCTCCCTGCTCTTTTCCTCCTTTCGCTCACTTCTCTTTCGCTCCCTGCTCTTTCGCTCACTTCTCTTTCGCTCCCTGCTCTTTCGCTCACTTCTCTTTCGCTCCCTGCTCTTTCGCTCCCTGCTCTTTCGCTCCCTGCTCTTTCGCTCACTTCTCTTTCGCTCCCTGCTCTTTCGCTCACTTCTCTTTCGCTCCCTGCTCTTTCGCTCACTTCTCTTTCGCTCCCTGCTCTTTCGCTCACTCTCTTTCGCTCCCTGCTCTTTCGCTCACTTCTCTTTCGCTCCCTGCTCTTTCGCTCACTTCTCTTTCGCTCCCTGCTCTTTCGCTCCCTGCTCTTTCGCTCCCTGCTCTTTCGCTCACTTCTCTTTCGCTCCCTGCTCTTTCGCTCACTTCTCTTTCGCTCCCTGCTCTTTCGCTCACTTCTCTTCGCTCCCTGCTCTTTCGCTCACTTCTCTTTCGCTCCCTGCTCTTTCGCTCACTTCTCTTTCGCTCCCTGCTCTTTCGCTCACTTCTCTTTCGCTCCCTGCTCTTTCGCTCACTTCTCTTTCGCTCCCTGCTCTTTCGCTCACTTCTCTTTCGCTCCCTGCTCTTTCGCTCACTTCTCTTCGCTCCCTGCTCTTTCGCTCACTTCTCTTTCGCTCCCTGCTCTTTCGCTCACTTCTCTTTCGCTCCTGCTCTTTCGCTCACTTCTCTTTCGCTCCCTGCTCTTTCGCTCACTTCTCTTTCGCTCCCTGCTCTTTCGCTCACTTCTCTTTCGCTCCCTGCTCTTTCGCTCACTTCTCTTTCGCTCCCTGCTCTTTCGCTCACCTTCTCTTTCGCTCCCTGCTCTTTCGCTCACTTCTCTTTCGCTCCCTGCTCTTTCGCTCACTTCTCTTTCGCTCCCTGCTCTTTCGCTCACTTCTCTTTCGCTCCCTGCTCTTTCGCTCACTTCTCTTTCGCTCCCTGCTCTTTCGCTCCTTCTTCTCCTTCTCTTTCGCTCCCTGCTCTTTCGCTCACTTCTCTTTCGCTCCCTGCTCTTTCGCTCACTTCTCTTTCGCTCCCTGCTCTTTCGCTCACTTCTCTTTCGCTCCCTGCTCTTTCGCTCACTTCTCTTTCGCTCCCTGCTCTTTCGCTCACTTCTCTTTCGCTCCCTGCTCTTTCGCTCACTTCTCTTTCGCTCCCTGCTCTTTCGCTCACTTCTCTTTCGCTCCCTGCTCTTTCGCTCACTTCTCTTTCGCTCCCTGCTCTTTCGCTCACTTCTCTTTCGCTCCCTGCTCTTTCGCTCACTTCTCTTTCGCTCCCTGCTCTTTCGCTCACTTCTCTTTCGCTCCCTGCTCTTTCGCTCACTTCTCTTTCGCTCCCTGCTCTTTCGCTCCTTCTTCGCTCACTTCTCTTTCGCTCCCTGCTCTTTCGCTCACTTCTCTTTCGCTCCCTGCTCTTTCGCTCACTTCTCTTTCGCTCCCTGCTCTTTCGCTCACTTCTCTTTCGCTCCCTGCTCTTTCGCTCACTTCTCTTTCGCTCCCTGCTCTTTCGCTCACTTCTCTTTCGCTCCCTGCTCTTTCGCTCACTTCTCTTTCGCTCCCTGCTCTTTCGCTCACTTCTCTTTCGCTCCCTGCTCTTTCGCTCACTTCTCTTTCGCTCCCTGCTCTTTCGCTCACTTCTCTTTCGCTCCCTGCTCTTTCGCTCACTTCTCTTTCGCTCCCTGCTCTTTCGCTCACTTCTCTTTCGCTCCCTGCTCTTTCGCTCCCTGCTCTTTCGCTCAGCTCTTTCGCTCCTTCTCTTCGCTCCTGCTCTTCGCTCACTTCTCTTTCGCTCCCTGCTCTTTCGCTCACTTCTCTTTCGCTCCTGCTCTTTCGCTCACTTCTCTTTCGCTCCCTGCTCTTTCGCTCACTTCTCTTTCGCTCCCTGCTCTTTCGCTCACTTCTCTTTCGCTCCCTGCTCTTTCGCTCACTTCTCTTTCGCTCCCTGCTCTTTCGCTCACTTCTCTTTCGCTCCCTGCTCTTTCGCTCACTGCTCTTTCGCTCCCTGCTCTTTCGCTCACTTCTCTTTCGCTCCCTGCTCTTTCGCTCACTTCTCTTTCGCTCCCTGCTCTTTCGCTCACTTCTCTTTCGCTCCCTGCTCTTTCGCTCACTTCTCTTTCGCTCCCTGCTCTTTCGCTCACTTCTCTTTCGCTCCCTGCTCTTTCGCTCACTTCTCTTTCGCTCCCTGCTCTTTCGCTCACTTCTCTTTCGCTCCCTGCCTCTTTCGCTCACTTCTCTTTCGCTCCCTGCTCTTTCGCTCACTTCTCTTTCGCTCCCTGCTCTTTCGCTCACTTCTCTTTCGCTCCCTGCTCTTTCGCTCACTTCTCTTTCGCTCCCTGCTCTTTCGCTCACTTCTCTTTCGCTCCCTGCTCTTTCGCTCACTTCTCTTTCGCTCCCTGCTCTTTCGCTCACTTCTCTTTCGCTCCCTGCTCTTTCGCTCACTTCTCTTTCGCTCCCTGCTCTTTCGCTCACTTCTCTTTCGCTCCCTGCTCTTTCGCTCACTTCTCTTTCGCTCCCTGCTCTTTCGCTCACTTCTCTTTCGCTCCCTGCTCTTTCGCTCACTTCTCTTTCGCTCCCTGCTCTTTCGCTCACTTCTCTTTCGCTCCCTGCTCTTTCGCTCACTTCTCTTTCGCTCCCTGCTCTTTCGCTCACTTCTCTTTCGCTCCCTGCTCTTTCGCTCACTTCTCTTTCGCTCCCTGCTCTTTCGCTCACTTCTCTTTCGCTCCCTGCTCTTTCGCTCACTTCTCTTTCGCTCCCTGCTCTTTCGCTCACTTCTCTTTCGCTCCCTGCTCTTTCGCTCACTTCTCTTTCGCTCCCTGCTCTTTCGCTCCTTCTCTTTCGCTCCCTGCTCTTTCGCTCACTTCTCTTTCGCTCCCTGCTCTTTCGCTCACTTCTCTTTCGCTCCCTGCTCTTTCGCTCACTTCTCTTTCGCTCCCTGCTCTTTCGCTCACTTCTCTTTCGCTCCCTGCTCTTTCGCTCACTTCTCTTTCGCTCCCTGCTCTTTCGCTCACTTCTCTTTCGCTCCCTGCTCTTTCGCTCACTTCTCTTTCGCTCCCTGCTCTTTCGCTCCCTGCTCTTTCGCTCCCTGCTCTTTCGCTCCCTGCTCTTTCGCTCCCTGCTCTTTCGCTCACTTCTCTTTCGCTCCCTGCTCTTTCGCTCACTTCTCTTTCGCTCCCTGCTCTTTCGCTCACTTCTCTTTCGCTCCCTGCTCTTTCGCTCACTTCTCTTTCGCTCCCTGCTCTTTCGCTCACTTCTCTTTCGCTCCCTGCTCTTTCGCTCACTTCTCTTTCGCTCCCTGCTCTTTCGCTCACTTCTCTTTCGCTCCCTGCTCTTTCGCTCACTTCTCTTTCGCTCCCTGCTCTTTCGCTCACTTCTCTTTCGCTCCCTGCTCTTTCGCTCACTTCTCTTTCGCTCCCTGCTCTTTCGCTCACTTCTCTTTCGCTCCCTGCTCTTTCGCTCACTTCTCTTTCGCTCCCTGCTCTTTCGCTCACTTCTCTTTCGCTCCCTGCTCTTTCGCTCACTTCTCTTTCGCTCCCTGCTCTTTCGCTCACTTCTCTTTCGCTCCCTGCTCTTTCGCTCACTTCTCTTTCGCTCCCTGCTCTTTCGCTCACTTCTCTTTCGCTCCCTGCTCTTTCGCTCACTTCTCTTCGCTCCCTGCTCTTTCGCTCACTTCTCTTTCGCTCCCTGCTCTTTCGCTCACTTCTCTTTCGCTCCCTGCTCTTTCGCTCACTTCTCTTTCGCTCCCTGCTCTTTCGCTCACTTCTCTTTCGCTCCCTGCTCTTTCGCTCACTTCTCTTTCGCTCCCTGCTCTTTCGCTCACTTCTCTTTCGCTCCCTGCTCTTTCGCTCACTTCTCTTTCGCTCCTGCTCTTTCGCTCCCTGCTCTTTCGCTCCCTGCTCTTTCGCTCCCTGCTCTTTCGCTCCCTGCTCTTTCGCTCACTTCTCTTTCGCTCCCTGCTCTTTCGCTCACTTCTCTTTCGCTCCCTGCTCTTTCGCTCACTTCTCTTTCGCTCCCTGCTCTTTCGCTCACTTCTCTTTTCGCTCCCTGCTCTTTCGCTCACTTCTCTTTCGCTCCCTGCTCTTTCGCTCACTTCTCTTTCGCTCCCTGCTCTTTCGCTCACTTCTCTTTCGCTCCCTGCTCTTTCGCTCACTTCTCTTTCGCTCCCTGCTCTTTCGCTCACTTCTCTTTCGCTCCCTGCTCTTTCGCTCACTTCTCTTTCGCTCCCTGCTCTTTCGCTCACTTCTCTTTCGCTCCCTGCTCTTTCGCTCACTTCTCTTTCGCTCCCTGCTCTTTCGCTCACTTCTCTTTCGCTCCCTGCTCTTTCGCTCACTTCTCTTTCGCTCCCTGCTCTTTCGCTCACTTCTCTTTCGCTCCCTGCTCTTTCGCTCACTTCTCTTTCGCTCCCTGCTCTTTCGCTCACTTCTCTTTCGCTCCCTGCTCTTTCGCTCACTTCTCTTTCGCTCCCTGCTCTTTCGCTCACTTCTCTTTCGCTCCCTGCTCTTTCGCTCACTTCTCTTCGCTCCCTGCTCTTTCGCTCACTTCTCTTTCGCTCCCTGCTCTTTCGCTCACTTCTCTTTCGCTCCCTGCTCTTTCGCTCACTTCTCTTTCGCTCCCTGCTCTTTCGCTCACTTCTCTTTCGCTCCCTGCTCTTTCGCTCACTTCTCTTTCGCTCCCTGCTCTTTCGCTCACTTCTCTTTCGCTCCCTGCTCTTTCGCTCACTTCTCTTTCGCTCCCTGCTCTTTCGCTCACTTCTCTTTCGCTCCCTGCTCTTTCGCTCCCTGCTCTTTCGCTCCCTGCTCTTTCGCTCACTTCTCTTTCGCTCCCTGCTCTTTCGCTCACTTCTCTTTCGCTCCCTGCTCTTTCGCTCACTTCTCTTTCGCTCCCTGCTCTTTCGCTCACTTCTCTTTCGCTCCCTGCTCTTTCGCTCACTTCTCTTTCGCTCCCTGCTCTTTCGCTCACTTCTCTTTCGCTCCCTGCTCTTTCGCTCCCTGCTCTTTCGCTCCCTGCTCTTTCGCTCCCTGCTCTTTCGCTCCCTGCTCTTTCGCTCCCTGCTCTTTCGCTCACTTCTCTTTCGCTCCCTGCTCTTTCGCTCACTTCTCTTTCGCTCCCTGCTCTTTCGCTCACTTCTCTTTCGCTCCCTGCTCTTTCGCTCACTTCTCTTTCGCTCCCTGCTCTTTCGCTCACTTCTCTTTCGCTCCCTGCTCTTTCGCTCCCTGCTCTTTCGCTCCCTGCTCTTTCGCTCCCTGCTCTTTCGCTCCCTGCTCTTTCGCTCACTTCTCTTTCGCTCCCTGCTCTTTCGCTCACTTCTCTTTCGCTCCCTGCTCTTTCGCTCACTTCTCTTTCGCTCCCTGCTCTTTCGCTCACTTCTCTTTCGCTCCCTGCTCTTTCGCTCACTTCTCTTTCGCTCCCTGCTCTTTCGCTCACTTCTCTTTCGCTCCCTGCTCTTTCGCTCACTTCTCTTTCGCTCCCTGCTCTTTCGCTCACTTCTCTTTCGCTCCCTGCTCTTTCGCTCACTTCTCTTTCGCTCCCTGCTCTTTCGCTCACTTCTCTTTCGCTCCCTGCTCTTTCGCTCACTTCTCTTTCGCTCCCTGCTCTTTCGCTCACTTCTCTTTCGCTCCCTGCTCTTTCGCTCACTTCTCTTTCGCTCCCTGCTCTTTCGCTCACTTCTCTTTCGCTCCCTGCTCTTTCGCTCACTTCTCTTTCGCTCCCTGCTCTTTCGCTCACTTCTCTTTCGCTCCCTGCTCTTTCGCTCACTTCTCTTTCGCTCCCTGCTCTTTCGCTCACTTCTCTTTCGCTCCCTGCTCTTTCGCTCACTTCTCTTTCGCTCCCTGCTCTTTCGCTCACTTCTCTTTCGCTCCCTGCTCTTTCGCTCACTTCTCTTTCGCTCCCTGCTCTTTCGCTCACTTCTCTTTCGCTCCCTGCTCTTTCGCTCACTTCTCTTTCGCTCCCTGCTCTTTCGCTCACTTCTCTTTCGCTCCCTGCTCTTTCGCTCACTTCTCTTTCGCTCCCTGCTCTTTCGCTCCTTCTCTTTCGCTCCCTGCTCTTTCGCTCACTTCTCTTTCGCTCCCTGCTCTTTCGCTCACTTCTCTTTCGCTCCCTGCTCTTTCGCTCACTTCTCTTTCGCTCCCTGCTCTTTCGCTCACTTCTCTTTCGCTCCCTGCTCTTTCGCTCACTTCTCTTTCGCTCCCTGCTCTTTCGCTCACTTCTCTTTCGCTCCCTGCTCTTTCGCTCACTTCTCTTTCGCTCCCTGCTCTTCGCTCACTTCTCTTTCGCTCCCTGCTCTTTCGCTCCCTGCTCTTTCGCTCCCTGCTCTTTCGCTCACTTCTCTTTCGCTCCCTGCTCTTTCGCTCACTTCTCTTTCGCTCCCTGCTCTTTCGCTCACTTCTCTTTCGCTCCCTGCTCTTTCGCTCACTTCTCTTTCGCTCCCTGCTCTTTCGCTCACTTCTCTTTCGCTCCCTGCTCTTTCGCTCACTTCTCTTTCGCTCCCTGCTCTTTCGCTCACTTCTCTTTCGCTCCCTGCTCTTTCGCTCCCTGCTCTTTCGCTCCCTGCTCTTTCGCTCACTTCTCTTTCGCTCCCTGCTCTTTCGCTCACTTCTCTTTCGCTCCCTGCTCTTTCGCTCACTTCTCTTTCGCTCCCTGCTCTTTCGCTCACTTCTCTTTCGCTCCCTGCTCTTTCGCTCACTTCTCTTTCGCTCCCTGCTCTTTCGCTCACTTCTCTTTCGCTCCCTGCTCTTTCGCTCACTTCTCTTTCGCTCCCTGCTCTTTCGCTCACTTCTCTTTCGCTCCCTGCTCTTTCGCTCACTTCTCTTTCGCTCCCTGCTCTTTCGCTCACTTCTCTTTCGCTCCCTGCTCTTTCGCTCACTTCTCTTTCGCTCCCTGCTCTTTCGCTCACTTCTCTTTCGCTCCCTGCTCTTTCGCTCACTTCTCTTTCGCTCCCTGCTCTTTCGCTCACTTCTCTTTCGCTCCCTGCTCTTTCGCTCACTTCTCTTTCGCTCCCTGCTCTTTCGCTCACTTCTCTTTCGCTCCCTGCTCTTTCGCTCACTTCTCTTTCGCTCCCTGCTCTTTCGCCTCACTTCTCTTTCGCTCCCTGCTCTTTCGCTCACTTCTCTTTCGCTCCCTGCTCTTTCGCTCCCTTCTCTTTCGCTCCCTGCTCTTTCGCTCACTTCTCTTTCGCTCCCTGCTCTTTCGCTCACTTCTCTTTCGCTCCCTGCTCTTTCGCTCACTTCTCTTTCGCTCCCTGCTCTTTCGCTCACTTCTCTTTCGCTCCCTGCTCTTTCGCTCACTTCTCTTTCGCTCCCTGCTCTTTCGCTCACTTCTCTTTCGCTCCCTGCTCTTTCGCTCACTTCTCTTTCGCTCCCTGCTCTTTCGCTCCCTGCTCTTTCGCTCCCTGCTCTTTCGCTCCCTGCTCTTTCGCTCCCTGCTCTTTCGCTCACTTCTCTTTCGCTCCCTGCTCTTTCGCTCACTTCTCTTTCGCTCCCTGCTCTTTCGCTCACTTCTCTTTCGCTCCCTGCTCTTTCGCTCACTTCTCTTTCGCTCCCTGCTCTTTCGCTCACTTCTCTTTCGCTCCCTGCTCTTTCGCTCCCTGCTCTTTCGCTCCCTGCTCTTTCGCTCACTTCTCTTTCGCTCCCTGCTCTTTCGCTCACTTCTCTTTCGCTCCCTGCTCTTTCGCTCACTTCTCTTTCGCTCCCTGCTCTTTCGCTCACTTCTCTTTCGCTCCCTGCTCTTTCGCTCACTTCTCTTTCGCTCCCTGCTCTTTCGCTCACTTCTCTTTCGCTCCCTGCTCTTTCGCTCACTTCTCTTTCGCTCCCTGCTCTTTCGCTCACTTCTCTTTCGCTCCCTGCTCTTTCGCTCACTTCTCTTTCGCTCCCTGCTCTTTCGCTCACTTCTCTTTCGCTCCCTGCTCTTTCGCTCACTTCTCTTTCGCTCCCTGCTCTTTCGCTCACTTCTCTTTCGCTCCCTGCTCTTTCGCTCACTTCTCTTTCGCTCCCTGCTCTTTCGCTCACTTCTCTTTCGCTCCCTGCTCTTTCGCTCACTTCTCTTTCGCTCCCTGCTCTTTCGCTCACTTCTCTTTCGCTCCCTGCTCTTTCGCTCACTTCTCTTTCGCTCCCTGCTCTTTCGCTCACTTCTCTTTCGCTCCCTGCTCTTCGCTCACTTCTCTTTCGCTCCCTGCTCTTTCGCTCACTTCTCTTTCGCTCCCTGCTCTTTCGCTCACTTCTCTTTCGCTCCCTGCTCTTTTCGCTCCCTGCTCTTTCGCTCCCTGCTCTTTCGCTCACTTCTCTTTCGCTCCCTGCTCTTTCGCTCACTTCTCTTTCGCTCCCTGCTCTTTCGCTCACTTCTCTTTCGCTCCCTGCTCTTTCGCTCACTTCTCTTTCGCTCCCTGCTCTTTCGCTCACTTCTCTTTCGCTCCCTGCTCTTTCGCTCACTTCTCTTTCGCTCCCTGCTCTTTCGCTCACTTCTCTTCGCTCCCTGCTCTTTCGCTCACTTCTCTTTCGCTCCCTGCTCTTTCGCTCACTTCTCTTTCGCTCCCTGCTCTTTCGCTCACTTCTCTTTCGCTCCCTGCTCTTTCGCTCACTTCTCTTTCGCTCCCTGCTCTTTCGCTCCCTTCTCTTTCGCTCCCTGCTCTTTCGCTCACCTTCTCTTTCGCTCCCTGCTCTTTCGCTCACTTCTCTTTCGCTCCCTGCTCTTTCGCTCACTTCTCTTTCGCTCCCTGCTCTTTCGCTCACTTCTCTTCGCTCCCTGCTCTTTCGCTCACTTCTCTTTCGCTCCCTGCTCTTTCGCTCACTTCTCTTTCGCTCCCTGCTCTTTCGCTCACTTCTCTTTCGCTCCCTGCTCTTTCGCTCACTTCTCTTTCGCTCCCTGCTCTTTCGCTCACTTCTCTTTCGCTCCCTGCTCTTTCGCTCACTTCTCTTTCGCTCCCTGCTCTTTCGCTCACTTCTCTTTCGCTCCCTGCTCTTTCGCTCACTTCTCTTTCGCTCCCTGCTCTTTCGCTCCCTGCTCTTTCGCTCACTTCTCTTTCGCTCCCTGCTCTTTCGCTCACTTCTCTTTCGCTCCCTGCTCTTTCGCTCACTTCTCTTTCGCTCCCTGCTCTTTCGCTCACTTCTCTTTCGCTCCCTGCTCTTTCGCTCACTTCTCTTTCGCTCCCTGCTCTTTCGCTCACTTCTCTTTCGCTCCCTGCTCTTTCGCTCACTTCTCTTTCGCTCCCTGCTCTTTCGCTCACTTCTCTTCGCTCCCTGCTCTTTCGCTCACTTCTCTTTCGCTCCCTGCTCTTTCGCTCACTTCTCTTTCGCTCCCTGCTCTTTCGCTCACTTCTCTTTCGCTCCCTGCTCTTTCGCTCCCTGCTCTTTCGCTCCCTGCTCTTTCGCTCACTTCTCTTTCGCTCCCTGCTCTTTCGCTCACTTCTCTTTCGCTCCCTGCTCTTTCGCTCACTTCTCTTTCGCTCCCTGCTCTTTCGCTCACTTCTCTTTCGCTCCCTGCTCTTTCGCTCACTTCTCTTTCGCTCCCTGCTCTTTCGCTCACTTCTCTTTCGCTCCCTGCTCTTTCGCTCACTTCTCTTTCGCTCCCTGCTCTTTCGCTCCCTGCTCTTTCGCTCCCTGCTCTTTCGCTCACTTCTCTTTCGCTCCCTGCTCTTTCGCTCACTTCTCTTTCGCTCCCTGCTCTTTCGCTCACTTCTCTTTCGCTCCCTGCTCTTTCGCTCCCTTCTCTTTCGCTCCCTGCTCTTTCGCTCCCTTCTCTTTCGCTCCCTGCTCTTCGCTCACTTCTCTTTCGCTCCCTGCTCTTTCGCTCACTTCTCTTTCGCTCCCTGCTCTTTCGCTCACTTCTCTTTCGCTCCCTGCTCTTTCGCTCACTTCTCTTTCGCTCCCTGCTCTTTCGCTCACTTCTCTTTCGCTCCCTGCTCTTTCGCTCACTTCTCTTTCGCTCCCTGCTCTTTCGCTCACTTCTCTTTCGCTCCCTGCTCTTTCGCTCACTTCTCTTTCGCTCCCTGCTCTTTCGCTCACTTCTCTTTCGCTCCCTGCTCTTTCGCTTCACTTCTCTTTCGCTCCTGCTCTTTCGCTCCCTGCTCTTTCGCTCACTTCTCTTTCGCTCCCTGCTCTTTCGCTCACTTCTCTTTCGCTCCCTGCTCCTTTCGCTCACTTCTCTTTCGCTCCCTGCTCTTTCGCTCACTTCTCTTTCTCTCCCTGCTCTTTCGCTCACTTCTCTTTCGCTCCCTGCTTCTTTCGCTCACTTCTCTTTCGCTCCCTGCTCTTTCGCTCACTCTCTTTCGCTCCTCTTTCGCTCCCTGCTCTTTCGCTCACTTCTCTTTCGCTCCCTGCTCTTTCGCTCACTTCTCTTTCGCTCCCTGCCTCTTTCGCTCCCTTCTCTTTCGCTCCCTGCTCTTTCGCTCACTTCTCTTTCGCTCCCTGCTCTTTCGCTCACTTCTCTTTCGCTCCCTGCTCTTTCGCTCACTTCTCTTTCGCTCCCTGCTCTTTCGCTCACTTCTCTTTCGCTCCCTGCTCTTTCGCTCACTTCTCTTTCGCTCCCTGCTCTTTCGTCTACTTCTCTTTCGCTCCCTGCTCTTTCGCTCACTTCTCTTTCGCTCCCTGCTCTTTCGCTCCCTGCTCTTTCGCTCACTTCTCTTTCGCTCCCTGCTCTTCGCTCACTTCTCTTTCGCTCCCTGCTCTTTCGCTCACTTCTCTTTCGCTCCCTGCTCTTTCGCTCACTTCTCTTTCGCTCCCTGCTCTTTCGCTCACTTCTCTTTCGCTCCCTGCTCTTTCGCTCACTTCTCTTTCGCTCCCTGCTCTTTCGCTCACTTCTCTTTCGCTCCCTGCTCTTTCGCTCCCTGCTCTTTCGCTCCCTGCTCTTTCGCTCACTTCTCTTTCGCTCCCTGCTCTTTCGCTCACTTCTCTTTCGCTCCCTGCTCTTTCGCTCACTTCTCTTTCGCTCCCTGCTCTTTCGCTCACTTCTCTTTCGCTCCCTGCTCTTTCGCTCACTTCTCTTTCGCTCCCTGCTCTTTCGCTCACTTCTCTTCGCTCCCTGCTCTTTCGCTCACTTCTCTTTCGCTCCCTGCTCTTTCGCTCCCTGCTCTTTCGCTCCCTGCTCTTTCGCTCACTTCTCTTTCGCTCCCTGCTCTTTCGCTCACTTCTCTTTCGCTCCCTGCTCTTTCGCTCACTTCTCTTTCGCTCCCTGCTCTTTCGCTCACTTCTCTTTCGCTCCCTGCTCTTTCGCTCACTTCTCTTTCGCTCCCTGCTCTTTCGCTCACTTCTCTTTCGCTCCCTGCTCTTCGCTCACTTCTCTTTCGCTCCCTGCTCTTTCGCTCACTTCTCTTTCGCTCCCTGCTCTTTCGCTCACTTCTCTTTCGCTCCCTGCTCTTTCGCTCACTGCTCTTTCGCTCCCTGCTCTTTCGCTCCCTGCTCTTTCGCTCCCTGCTCTTTCGCTCACTTCTCTTTCGCTCCCTGCTCTTTCGCTCACTTCTCTTTCGCTCCCTGCTCTTTCGCTCACTTCTCTTTCGCTCCCTGCTCTTTCGCTCACTTCTCTTTCGCTCCCTGCTCTTTCGCTCACTTCTCTTTCGCTCCCTGCTCTTTCGCTCACTTCTCTTTCGCTCCCTGCTCTTTCGCTCACTTCTCTTTCGCTCCCTGCTCTTTCGCTCACTTCTCTTTCGCTCCCTGCTCTTTCGCTCCCTGCTCTTTCGCTCCCTGCTCTTTCGCTCACTTCTCTTTCGCTCCCTGCTCTTTCGCTCACTTCTCTTTCGCTCCCTGCTCTTTCGCTCACTTCTCTTTCGCTCCCTGCTCTTTCGCTCACTTCTCTTTCGCTCCCTGCTCTTTCGCTCACTTCTCTTTCGCTCCCTGCTCTTTCGCTCACTTCTCTTTCGCTCCCTGCTCTTTCGCTCACTTCTCTTTCGCTCCCTGCTCTTTCGCTCCCTGCTCTTTCGCTCCCTGCTCTTTCGCTCACTTCTCTTTCGCTCCCTGCTCTTTCGCTCACTCTCTTTCGCTCCCTGCTCTTTCGCTCACTTCTCTTTCGCTCCCTGCTCTTTCGCTCACTTCTCTTTCGCTCCTGCTCTTTCGCTCACTTCTCTTTCGCTCCCTGCTCTTTCGCTCACTTCTCTTTCGCTCCCTGCTCTTTCGCTCACTTCTCTTTCGCTCCCTGCTCTTTCGCTCACTTCTCTTTCGCTCCCTGCTCTTTCGCTCACTTCTCTTTCGCTCCCTGCTCTTTCGCTCACTTCTCTTTCGCTCCTGCTCTTTCGCTCACTTCTCTTTCGCTCCCTGCTCTTTCGCTCACTTCTCTTTCGCTCCCTGCTCTTTCGCTCACTTCTCTTTCGCTCCCTGCTCTTTCGCTCACTTCTCTTTCGCTCCCTGCTCTTTCGCTCACTTCTCTTTCGCTCCCTGCTCTTCGCTCACTTCTCTTTCGCTCCCTGCTCTTTCGCTCACTTCTCTTTCGCTCCCTGCTCTTTCGCTCACTTCTCTTTCGCTCCCTGCTCTTTCGCTCACTTCTCTTTCGCTCCCTGCTCTTTCGCTCACTTCTCTTTCGCTCCCTGCTCTTTCGCTCACTTCTCTTTCGCTCCCTGCTCTTTCGCTCACTTCTCTTTCGCTCCCTGCTCTTTCGCTCACTCTCTTTCGCTCCCTGCTCTTTCGCTCACTTCTCTTTCGCTCCCTGCTCTTTCGCTCACTTCTCTTTCGCTCCCCTGCTCTTTCGCTCACTTCTCTTTCGCTCCCTGCTCTTTCGCTCACTTCTCTTTCGCTCCCTGCTCTTTCGCTCACTTCTCTTTCGCTCCCTGCTCTTTCGCTCACTTCTCTTTCGCTCCCTGCTCTTTCGCTCACTTCTCTTTCGCTCCCTGCTCTTTCGCTCCCTTCTCTTTCGCTCCCTGCTCTTTCGCTCCCTTCTCTTTCGCTCCCTGCTCTTTCGCTCACTTCTCTTTCGCTCCCTGCTCTTTCGCTCACTTCTCTTTCGCTCCCTGCTCTTTCGCTCACTTCTCTTTCGCTCCCTGCTCTTTCGCTCACTTCTCTTTCGCTCCCTGCTCTTTCGCTCACTTCTCTTTCGCTCCCTGCTCTTTCGCTCCTTCTCTTTCGCTCCCTGCTCTTTCGCTCACTTCTCTTTCGCTCCCTGCTCTTTCGCTCCCTGCTCTTTCGCTCCCTGCTCTTTCGCTCACTTCTCTTTCGCTCCCTGCTCTTTCGCTCACTTCTCTTTCGCTCCCTGCTCTTTCGCTCACTTCTCTTTCGCTCCCTGCTCTTTCGCTCACTTCTCTTTCGCTCCCTGCTCTTTCGCTCCCTGCTCTTTCGCTCCCTGCTCTTTCGCTCACTTCTCTTTCGCTCCCTGCTCTTTCGCTCACTTCTCTTTCGCTCCCTGCTCTTTCGCTCACTTCTCTTTCGCTCCCTGCTCTTTCGCTCACTTCTCTTTCGCTCCCTGCTCTTTCGCTCACTTCTCTTTCGCTCCCTGCTCTTTCGCTCACTTCTCTTTCGCTCCCTGCTCTTTCGCTCCCTGCTCTTTCGCTCCCTGCTCTTTCGCTCCCTGCTCTTTCGCTCACTTCTCTTTCGCTCCCTGCTCTTTCGCTCACTTCTCTTTCGCTCCCTGCTCTTTCGCTCACTTCTCTTTCGCTCCCTGCTCTTTCGCTCACTTCTCTTTCGCTCCCTGCTCTTTCGCTCACTTCTCTTTCGCTCCCTGCTCTTTCGCTCACTTCTCTTTCGCTCCCTGCTCTTTCGCTCACTTCTCTTTCGCTCCCTGCTCTTTCGCTCCCTGCTCTTTCGCTCCCTGCTCTTTCGCTCACTTCTCTTTCGCTCCCTGCTCTTTCGCTCACTTCTCTTTCGCTCCCTGCTCTTTCGCTCACTTCTCTTTCGCTCCCTGCTCTTTCGCTCACTTCTCTTTCGCTCCCTGCTCTTTCGCTCACTTTCTCTTTCGCTCCCTGCTCTTTCGCTCACTTCTCTTTCGCTCCCTGCTCTTTCGCTCACTTCTCTTTCGCTCCCTGCTCTTTCGCTCACTTCTCTTTCGCTCCCTGCTCTTTCGCTCACTTCTCTTTCGCTCCCTGCTCTTTCGCTCACTTCTCTTTCGCTCCCTGCTCTTTCGCTCACTTCTCTTTCGCTCCCTGCTCTTTCGCTCACTTCTCTTTCGCTCCCTGCTCTTTTCGCTCACTTCTCTTTCGCTCCCTGCTCTTTCGCTCACTTCTCTTTCGCTCCCTGCTCTTTCGCTCACTTCTCTTTCGCTCCCTGCTCTTTCGCTCCCTGCTCTTTCGCTCCCTGCTCTTTCGCTCCCTGCTCTTTCGCTCCCTGCTCTTTCGCTCACTTCTCTTTCGCTCCCTGCTCTTTCGCTCACTTCTCTTTCGCTCCCTGCTCTTTCGCTCACTTCTCTTCGCTCCCTGCTCTTTCGCTCCCTGCTCTTTCGCTCACTTCTCTTTCGCTCCCTGCTCTTTCGCTCACTTCTCTTTCGCTCCCTGCTCTTTCGCTCCCTGCTCTTTCGCTCCCTGCTCTTTCGCTCACTTCTCTTTCGCTCCCTGCTCTTTCGCTCACTTCTCTTTCGCTCCCTGCTCTTTCGCTCACTTCTCTTTCGCTCCCTGCTCTTTCGCTCACTTCTCTTTCGCTCCCTGCTCTTTCGCTCACTTCTCTTTCGCTCCCTGCTCTTTCGCTCCCTGCTCTTTCGCTCACTTCTCTTTCGCTCCCTGCTCTTTCGCTCACTTCTCTTTCGCTCCCTGCTCTTTCGCTCACTTCTCTTTCGCTCCCTGCTCTTTCGCTCACTTCTCTTTCGCTCCCTGCTCTTTCGCTCACTTCTCTTTCGCTCCCTGCTCTTTCGCTCACTTCTCTTTCGCTCCCTGCTCTTTCGCTCACTTCTCTTTCGCTCCCTGCTCTTTCGCTCACTTCTCTTTCGCTCCCTGCTCTTTCGCTCACTTCTCTTTCGCTCCCTGCTCTTTCGCTCACTTCTCTTTCGCTCCCTGCTCTTTCGCTCACTTCTCTTTCGCTCCCTGCTCTTTCGCTCACTTCTCTTTCGCTCCCTGCTCTTTCGCTCACTTCTCTTTCGCTCCCTGCTCTTTCGCTCACTTCTCTTTCGCTCCCTGCTCTTTCGCTCACTTCTCTTTCGCTCCCTGCTCTTTCGCTCCCTGCTCTTTCGCTCCCTGCTCTTTCGCTCACTTCTCTTTCGCTCCCTGCTCTTTCGCTCCCTTCTCTTTCGCTCCCTGCTCTTTCGCTCACTTCTCTTTCGCTCCCTGCTCTTTCGCTCACTTCTCTTTCGCTCCCTGCTCTTTCGCTCACTTCTCTTTCGCTCCCTGCTCTTTCGCTCACTTCTCTTTCGCTCCCTGCTCTTTCGCTCCCTGCTCTTTCGCTCCCTGCTCTTTCGCTCCCTTCTCTTTCGCTCCCTGCTCTTTCGCTCACTTCTCTTTCGCTCCCTGCTCTTTCGCTCACTTCTCTTTCGCTCCCTGCTCTTTCGCTCACTTCTCTTTCGCTCCCTGCTCTTTCGCTCACTTCTCTTTCGCTCCCTGCTCTTTCGCTCACTTCTCTTTCGCTCCCTGCTCTTTCGCTCACTTCTCTTTCGCTCCCTGCTCTTTCGCTCACTTCTCTTTCGCTCCCTGCTCT